ACTTAATAACGAATTTTGATTGTTGGGTTGTCTCATACGACATTGAGATGCGGTATGACCTGGGCGCTCGCACCATTGACACGTCCCTACAGCATTACTAAGTGAGATGTTCCGATTCGTATAGCAATTTTTTGCATCGTGACCCGTTTTATTACACAACTGACAGAGAACAGCGTTAGTAGTAACTGAGCGACTTCGGCAATCTCTCGCGGTATGACCGGATCTCTGGCAACTCTGGCAAATTATATTTAATTGATTACGATGTAGCTAACAGTTTTTAGCAAGATGACCGGGTCTTTGACAATTATAACAGGTAACAATAAGTTGATTGTGAGTTGTTCGACAGGTTTGGGCAGTATGACCGGATTTCGAGCAAATTTGGCATGTAATTGTATTGTTCTGTACTAGTTTTACGGAAGCCGTGCCGGCGCGGTCTCTTGTTCTACAATTATCTGCGCTATGGCCCCGTTTTTTACAGAGTTGACAAACTAAAATATCATTACCCAAGTTGGGACTTCGTAAATAACGACAATTATCCGCGGTGTGACCAGAAGTTTTACAGATCTGGCAAGTATGTAAATTAGCGGCGGCGGGTAGATTTAGTGTGCCACGCAATTCGTTAATCGCGCGTAACTCCCTTTCTATTCTTAGTGCTTCGTTTACCGTGCCCGCTACGTTTAAGTCTCGGGAGATTCTTTGTTCTATCTCCGGTATTAATCCTCTAATAAAACTGTGACACATTTCTTTTTCTAATGATATTCTGGCTGCTTCACCTATAGGTCCGTTAACGGTAATGCGGTAGGCTTCTAGGATGAGTTTCCCTATTGCTTTTACACGGTTGGCATAAGATACTATTTGTTCGCCCGCTAATTGGTACACTCGTCCTAGTTCAGCTTGTAATTCGTATAAGCTTTTGGTGGGCCCAAAAACATTTTTTAGATACGCCGTTAGTTGGTTAATTCGCGAAAAATCTTGACCCTGCACAGAACGTCGGGCTTCACCAGTTAA